GTTTTCAAATTCCATTTTTAAAAGAAATAAATTAGCAAAGCAAAGGATACAATGAAAGTAATTAAGTAGCAAAACTAAAATATCGTTAAAAAATTATCAAGAAAAGCAAAGGTGTGAATTTTTTTAACTTGCCTTTTATATTTTTTTTAAAAAAAAAAAACTATTTTAATTTCCTAGATAGTTCAATTTTAATTTCCTAGATAGTTCATTTAAATGAAATTAAATAATTATATAACAATTTATATGGACTAATGGACTGGTGCATATCTAATTTGAATTATATTGGGTTTGATCCGAATCTGATTTGAATTCGATAATTTTGTAAATTTAAAATTTGATTCGATCCGAATTCGATCAGATTAAAAATTTTGAAATTTGATCTGATCCGATTTGTATCCAATTCACAGATTGATTGGATTCGGATCAAAATTGTGAACACTAGTGGATGCCATTTCCATTTATTTTTCATCTGCAAATAGGATAGTTATGTGTTTGCTTGCATATGTATTATTGGTTCTAATTGATGTAACTGATTTGTATCTAGTGAGAGCTGTCTTTACTGAGTATAGTTACTGTTGGTATCTTTGCCGGGTACCTGTTTCAAGGAAAAGACTTTCTTGAAATGTTTTCTTCCATATTGTGTTTGCCAATCTGTAAGGGGGGGACATTGGAGTATTTGAGTGTTGGAGGTTGTTTCCTTGCCTTTGCCCTTGTCCTGAGTGCCTTGTTGTGCTTCTTCACTTTCTTTGAACTAGTCAAATTTTGATGCTGCTGGTGTGCTAAAAGCCTTTGGTGATAAAGATGCACTGATAAAGTAGTTGCAGTGTTTGGCTTCTCTATGGTAGAGTTGATTTTGTTGTTATTGTCTTGTTGTTTGTGAGCTATCTACCTTAAAGATTGCTTCAATACATTCGTGTTCTGTAGAAATCAACTCTAGTTCCATGCTTGTGTGTATTTGTCTTTGGATGGTTATGCCACTTCTTAAAGTTGTACCATTTTGTGTTTACCCATGGTCTGGTGTTGTTTGTTGTGAAAACATATTGTGTTTCTGTTAAAAACTCTCTTTTTCATTCCAAAAATTATTTTTTGTAAAAAAATTTCCTAAAAAGAAAATTTTCAGAAATTTGGATATGAGCAGGAAAGAGTTTTTTTTTTTTTTTTTTTTGAACAGAAACAATTAAAAACTTAATCAAAAAGTATAACACTACAAAACTAGGATCTTATATAATAGCAGTCCAGCAAGGTCAATAAACTAGAATCTTATATAGTAGCAACCAGGCAAGACCAAAAAACTAGAGACAACCAACTCTATAAACCAAAATCAATAAATATAATGAACAAAATCTTGAAAATATTAAAAGAAATTAGGAAAGAAATCAAGGAAATCAAAGAGAATATAGCAGACTTGGATGAATATATTATTAAATCTAGAAAAATACAATGAATAATATATGGAACAAGTGAAGGAACTCCAAGATACTAAAAAGAATCAAAATCATATAATAGAAAATATTAAAAAAATGCCTAACAATCTACAAGACATTAAAGCTAAACAACAACACATTCATTTTACTATAAATAGATTAGATAAAATATGAATAGAATGTTTAATGTCCTAATAAATACCCTGAACTCGAATTCAGCTCAACTTACTCCTATCTATATATAAGTTTGAACACAGCAAATACTATAAACAATAGAAATATTCTCTCAATAAAAGATATAACTATTCACTCTTTTCCATATATTAGTGGCACAGCAAACACTTCTACCAACCTCCAGATAAAAGTGAGAAAGAATGTACTCATGAAGGATGCTTCACAGCCACAATGCAACCTTCCATCCAAACTACAATAAGGAAGCCCTAGCAAAGGGCCTGGCCAGATCTAGAGCCACACCCAAACAGACAATAGCAGAAAAGAAGTCCAACAGTATGGAAAAATTTGTATGACCAGCAAAGAAAAATCCAGTAGATTTAGAACCCATCTTTTTTCAAATGCATAACTTCGGGTCTATGGCCCCAAGTCCTCACAAGAATAGATGACACCAGCTCATCATCCCGGAGTGATAGCTTCAAAGAGAAAGTTGACTTAGTTAAAAATGGTACAGGTATAACCACAACTTGCGAAACAAAAAAAGAACTCCAGATCCAACCATATATTACATGAATGATCATGGATCCAATGGACTCAAATATAGAAATGAGGCTGGAAAATGAAAATGAGACCAGCCGAGAAGAAGTAGCTAGAGACATGAATAAATGGCACAAAGACTGGACCTTTCAACCAAACAAAGAAAAAATCAAAGAAAAAGCAGAAACACACATCCAAAACAGCTAACCCCACCCAAGGTCACCTTTCAATAGAAGCATGAGATATAGATGCGAGAGAACTAAACTTGGCATATAGGCTGGAAAAATCTCTACAAACTCTTACACCACAAGATAGTATACATATCCAAGGCTCTGAATTCTCGAAGACCTGATCAGTATCCATAGTGAGAAATCTGATAATCAGGAGTTTATAACTGCCCTTTTTAGTGATCCACAATTATTGAAGATGCTAGTAAAATATACTTACTAGAAATGGACAACCTAACAATAGAACATATGCCAGACATAAAAAACATAACCAACAAGGTGAACAGTATCATAGTCTGGGATATCCCCTTGGACACAACCTTCCATAATATACAACAGACCTTTGCAAAATTTGGCCAGATTAGCAACATCTCAATTGCAATATAACGTATGTGACAGTCAACCACTATTATGTACACAGAAAACATAGACAAGTACAAGCTCCTGAAAAATTGTAGCATCCAGTGCAAAGCAGATTTACTTAGAATATTCGACTCAGAATGATCTCTCTAACAAATAAAAGATAGAAAGAACTTCTCCCTCAAACTTATCAACCTTTTTTCAGATACAAATGCATTCAATTTGAGTCACATATACCAACAAACAAGAAGCAAAACATCCATATTTCCTGAAAAATAAACTACAAACATAAATGCTATGCTGTGATTAGTTTTTAAATGAGCAAGACATGCAGCTAGCCATTATAACAAACTATATCCTTGTAGAAACAATTATCGAATAGTTATCAATAGATACCAAATTATGTACCATTTGTGATGCCATCTCACACCTGGTAAAAGACTGTCATATCAAAGAAAGAAAACAACAATGGCAAAACTACAAACAAGAACAAGCAGAGAGATTCAGCCAACTATATATATTCTTCAAACCTGTCCAAACTAAAAGTATCAGAAAGCTAGTGGAGAGAAAAAACAATACAAAACCTATATACCCAGGCTCCTACGCAGTAATAGTCAAATTCAAAGCAAGACCTAATCCAACCCTACTTGGTTTTTCACCTTCCAACAGCAGCTACAAAACTGGTTACTTACTACTGACATACAATAATAAACTGAAACCAACTCTTTCTTCCAATGTACACCTATAATTCAAACAAACACTACAAAACTATACTGGATTGCAATAGAAATCAACAACACAATGGTCATTGGCAGAAAACAAAAGAAAATCAATGCCAATGAAACCACGTACAGAAATTACACCCAGGAATCCAACAAATCCCCACTAACAGAATACATAGGATGTAACATCAATCAAAACAAACAACTTATTTATTTATGCACCTTCAATACCTCAAAAGAAAATGCAGTAACACTCCCTGTACAGCAGAGTCGAAACTCCACATGAATCAACATAACAAATACTACCAAACTTAGAAATAGGACCTCATCCAACTTGATTAGCATGGCACTTCAAGAATACTCCCAACAAGAAAGGACGGTGATTGATTAAGAAACAATCAGCAACATATCTGAAAAAAACATACATAGTATACCTGAACAAATTCCTCAAGACACTCAGATCAGTGATGGAGGAACTAGTAAATATTGCCAAACAGATACAAAATAAGATCAACTTTGAAATCTATACAGATGGATCTCTGTCACAACATCAGAAAAGAAACTATATGGTGTAGATCTAATATATTCATTCACAAAAATGTGATTTTCCTCCCAACATCACATGTCAATCTCTAAAACGTGACTAAGAAACTATAGGTATTTTAATCCGAAAAACATTTCTTATCAGCTCTAAAATAATTGTCAACTTGAATTTCTCGTTAAATGCCAATATTGATTTTAGCATAAAATGCTAATAAAGATCCCTTACCTGGGTCACGTGTCACGTAACATGAGTGCCGATCCTGTAATCCTGGAGATACACAATATAAACAGTTCTACAAACATTATAATTATTCTATTATTAGTATGAATTGGTGATACTAACAGAGTTTCCATAGTTAGTAATGCTCTTAGCAAACTTAGCAATCTTAGCAAATATACTATTTATAGTGATTATAGATTCTAAATATATAATTGATAGCATATAGTTATAATAGTTTAATATCAAATATTGCTATATTTAGTAGTAGCTAAAACAATATTCATAGATATCCAAAAACCTTGATATGTTAGTATCAAAACATGTATCCAAATAATCAATAGTATCTTATAAATAAAATATTTGCTCTTGTCTTCATAAAATTACAAATTCCCCTTGCCTCTTTCTTAATTCTTTTTCCTTTTCTTGACTCCTCTATTAATAAAAGTATTGTTAAGAGATCTTTACATTTATTTTCCTTAGGAACTGTAGAATATTCATGTTAGTGAAGCATTTTAAGTCTATGTTTCACTGTTTTAGTTCTCAGTCATCTGCTTAATTTAGGAGAGGAGGAATTGAGCAGGTTGATAATGGGATTCAAATGGTCATTATAACCAGAGGAGACAAAAAAATATGTTTTCAAGAACAAGTGTAGAACTTCACTTCTTTAACACGAGCTGAGTTAATGGCTATTTTAACTGTCATAAACACACTATCCCATTTGGTAAAGCAAACATTTACACAGATAGCCAAGCTGCAATTAACAGTAACCATAAGATTACCTAAACTGATCACATCACCAACTTAAGAAAACAGAAAAACCTTGGAATTCTATAATAATTAAAAGACATAATTAAGAAAAACCACCTCAAACTTAACTTTTGCAAAATCAAAGTACACTTAGGCAACAAATACAATAATCAAACAGATAACTAACAAATATAAACATAAGGCTGGAAAAAAAGAATATTGAAGTCCACATCATACAAAATTTACAATACTTATTCATCCCATAGTGGGACAATAGACTCTTAGACATTTCCATAAAAAAGATGACCCAAGAATTCATGAGAGCTACATATCTAGCAAAATAAAAACTTCTCAACAGAACAAAAACTGATTTCAGCAACAGGGTTATCAAACAAATCCACTGGCTAACAATAATATCTATACTGCAACCAATACAAATAAGTGAACTACTAACCTTGGGAAGACCAACAATAGAGAAATTTAATCTTTGCCTCTGGAACAAAGAACTGTCTATTAAGACTAAACTTAATACATACCTACCAAGTATATACAAGGATGACAAATATGTAAAATATGAAGAAAAAGAAATAAACACAGACCCTTTCTATGCCATGAACAATAAAAGGAAACAACAAAGCAATTAGAAACCATCATTATCAAGTAACTAAGACAATATAGTACGAAAGAAGATCTAGAAACACAAATAATCAAATACAGAGACTACACATTCCTCAAATACACTAAATACCTCAAAATTACAATCAAAGGTACAATACTGAAAGAAACATATCACTTAACAATGTCCTGCATCCCAGACAAATGAACCAGACTATAATTTCTCAAGGAGATTAGACAAGAAATGAACTAATACCTCCACTTAATCTGGAAAAAAGATGCAAAGACTTCCAAAGATGGAAAACTCAACAAGGAATTAACGGAAAGATGGAAAGAACTGCCAAATATAGTACACAAACCAAACACGCCTGGCTCAATGAAGCAGAAAGACACATAAAGGGCCAATATATCAATCTGGTCAACAGCTACTGCATATTAGATAATATACCATAAATTTCACACACACATCTTACATTTTCAAAATTTTATATAGTACTAGCCCAGCCTTGGTAGGTTAGCTCCCCTTTCAGGGTGGCAATATGCCACAAGGTAAATTATTTCTATTGAACTAAATTTGGTTAACATAGGTATCATAGTATAAACAACATATGTATATCTCTACTTAATCCAAATAAAGTAAGGCTGAGCCAGCTATAAAAAAAAAAAGATATAACTATTTATGACATAGACAACACCAAAACACTTATCAATTCACAAATAAACTCAATACAATACACAATAAAAATAATCTAAATAAAACAGTAAAAATTCAAAAAACACTATTTGATAAGCAACAACTTACAAAATTCAAGACTTGGTTAACTATAAAAAAGAAATGACTGGTTCACCTGATGTGTTATGAAAAAGTGGAATATAGTTGTAACAGTAAAGATAAATAGAGCAAACTCACAATCTAAACATTGGAAGCATCTAAAATAAAATATAATATGGTCTCATGATGAAGAACAAAAGATAGAACAGGGCCTAAACATTATTTTAAAAAAGAGATAACAAAGAGAGTTTTTAGGTATCATACATAACCAGGAAGACTCATTCACATAGACTTAGCCTTTTCCAAAAAAACAAAAAATAAGAATAATAGGAGTGTACTTTTCAGTCCAACAGTACGACAAGAATTGATAAGGCATTCTAAATCAGTAAGACAATAGATCAAGAAAGCTATTCAAAAAGATTGGTATCTCCTATTTATGTGAAATCTAAACAAAATCCTGAACCCAGCTTGAGATAAAATAATATAGGTAAGAGGAGTATAATCAACAAGTACCAGACCCTCAAATAGAAATTCTTCTGAAAATAATTTGGAAGACATATACAGATTCCACAATCCTACCAAAAGAAAGTGCTTTTGGAGCTTAAATACTTAA